CCCAAAGTTTAGGGATGTATCCCAGAGATTAGAAAGGAATGAGAGACATAAGGACGTATCCTGGTGTTTCGGAATGGAAAAGAAACATAGGGACGTATCCCGGTGTTTCAGAAAGAAGAGAAACATAGGGACGTATCCCGGTGTTTCGAAAAGAGAGAGAAGCATAGGGACGTATCTCGGTGTTTCAGAAAGGAAAAGAAACGTAGGGACGTATCCTGGTGTTTCGAAAAGAGAGAAGAAATGTAGGGACGTATCCTGGTGTTTCGAAAAGAGAGAAGAAACGTAGGGACGTATCCCGGTGTTTCGGAAGGAATGAGAAACATAGGGACGTATCCTAGTGTTTCAGAATGAGAAAGGAAAACATAAGGACGTATCCCAGTGTTTCTGAATAAGAGAGCGTGCATAACAATGCAAGTGGAAAGTACGTGACAACGCAAGTGAAAAGGTGCATGACAATGCAAGATAGATGTGCATAAAAATGCAAGTAACGAGCATAACAATGCTAGATAGATGTGCATAAAAATGCAAGTAACGAGCATAACAATGCTAGATAGATGTGCATAACAATGCAACGAATGGTGTGCGTAACAATGCGATTGAAACGTGCATAACGATGCAAGTAGAATGTGCGCGACGGCGCATGTTAGAGATGTGCAAAACAATGCAATACAGGTACACAAGACAGTGCGAGTGAGGTGCACAAAAGAAGTGCAACAAGATGCATTTTCTATGCAAGTATGGGGGCATTTTCTATGTAATCATGGAAAGCCTATTCTATGCATGATTGAAAGCAAAGCATATTCTATGCATGAATCATAACGATGTGCGGCACGCACGTAACAGAAGTGTATATGAAAGTGCACATTCTATGCAATAGAGGAGCATTTAAACATGTACTCTGGTGCCTCTGATTTACCTCTTAGAGGACTTTGCAACACACTCTACTCGAAAAGGGGACACTCTATTTACATTGGCGAGAGATAACATCTGCTGCTGCTGCTTGAATTGCCATTCTGACTTGAAGCAAGCTTAAGCTTGGAGTAGAGGCACACTCATTCTTCGGAGCACTGACAAGGCCTGAAGAGGTACATCCGGAGTACAATCACGGAATTTGCTGAAGGTGAAACACAATCAGATGCTTCGATTTTCCCTCTTTCCTTTTGCTTTACAGTCTGGAACTTATACAGCTTCAGATAGGTCCTAGTTTTACTGTTTTCACATGACCTGGGTTGAACCCTGCAGCTTTATGAAAGAACAAATCTTGTTTTGCACAAATGTGAAGAATGGCACAGCACTCTGAGCACAAAACGATTCATTTTTGAAATTGAGAATGAGTTCTCGACTAGGTATTGAGCCTACGACTGAACACAGCGCACTACGGCTCAATCAACGGAAAACAAAAGGTAAAATAACCTAAACACAACGAGACACGCTCGAAACGACTCAAAACAAGATTTGAGGCAAACAAACAAAAAACACGACATACAGACGTGCACAGGGAGCCTGCTTCTCTGGGTATCGTTTCCCACCCTTTTTTATTTGTGATTCTTACGTCACTCGGCCCTCAAGCTCTGTTTTTCTGAAAAAACCCTTTTCTCACTTTTCCTTTCATCGCATATCTCTCTATTATTCAATCTCTCATTTTTAATCCCTCCCCTGGGTAGTTGATGAATAAACAGACAGTTGTGGGCTCTTGCCCCTAGTATTCTACCAGACTCTCATTCTTGTTCACAACAGTGAGTTTCTCCCACAGTTCACAACAGTGAGTTTCTCCCACAGAGGGGCTGTGCTACAACTGGGTGTGTAGCAAATCTGCAGTTGACATCGGTTGACGATGCTCTGCTGGGGAGTTTGGATGTGATCAGATCTGTCCAGATAAGGGAGTGAAATATCTTGTCCCATTCTGGTTCGTGCTTCGCACTTAGCTTGATACCTCGTTGCTTGGAGGATGAGAGAGCTTTCTGCCCTTTTGCGATCAGCTTTAGTAGTGCCCTTGTCTGGTAAGTAGAGTGCCCTTCTTGGCAAGTATGGTGCTCATTCTGGCAAATGCATTGTCAACGGGGAAAAGACAGAACACCTAACTCAACTGTGCCCCTAGTTCATCATTTTGACCATTTTTTGTTTTGTTTTCTACTAAAACAATTTTGACCAAAATGAGAGTTAGATTAACATGCTTATTCAATTTTTGATTTGAAATCATGCAAGTCAGGTTATGAGCACTGAAAATTTTCCTTTTTGGGTCCAAGAAAATGGTCCAGTTTTAAAAAAATGGAATAATTTTCGAGAGAATTAGTCAACCTCAGTAAAAGTTCTCAAAAACTATTTTTGCAAACGGTCATTGCTCAACGAGCACGGAAGCTACTCTTGAGATGCACGACCTTGGATCCAAAACAATGGAAAATTACCCTTTGCTCGAAGAGAACTGCATGGCAACAGAAAGTTGCCCCTTGTTTAAATGGCACCGCAACGCATTGAGTGGCAACAGAAAGTTGCCCCTTGTTTGAATGGCACCGCAGCGCATTGTAGTCAGTCCTCAAAGTGACTAACACAACCAAATTCTCGGATACAGAGAAGGCAAAGATGATCAAAACCATTACATGGACACAATTGATTTGGAAGTGTTTGTGGCTGGACTTCAGAATGAAGTTGCCTACGTATCCCAAACATGGGAATCAAGCCTTACGTAGTTCGAGGTAAGGTACACTCGTGTATTAACCCTCACCTTTTGCGCTCTAACTTTTGCGAAGGCCGCCCTTCCGGGTTTTCAACCTTGCGAGCTCTATTTTTCTTTTCTTTTCATTTCATTTCTTTTTTTTATCTTTTCTTTTTCATTCTTTTTTTTTTCTTGATTTCTCTTTTTTTGTATCTTTTCTTTGCATTTTTTTCTTTCATTTGCTCTAACTTTTGCCTAGGTCGCCCTTCCGGGTTTTCGGCCCAGCGAGCCTCTCAAGGGTAAAAGTGTAGCTTTGTCCATGTCAAATGGTTTTGAGATCCCGAAGTCATCTGAATCCAGGAGAATGGCTGCTGTTCGCTGACGATGCAGGAGTCCATCCAATGGGGGGCTGAATTTGCCCCTAGTGCTGTGGATCGGAACTCAGTTTTTCTTCAGCAATACTTTCTTCTTCCTCCCTCTGGGATTCGGCATTCTTGCCGACCTTCTTGGATTTGTGGAATGATCCATCTTCAGCTCTTCGAGCACATTTAGAATTCTTTGCCCCTAGTTCCAGAGGTGCTTCTGATCTAGCTTTGCAAGCTTCTTTTGATGACATTTGATTTTCTAGATCTGACTTTTCTTGCCGTTGATTCACAGGCTGTTTCGAATCTGGCCACACAGGCCTCACATTGTAGTTGACCTTTGAACTTTCTGAGTTCTAGTCCAAGGTTTGAAAATGAGGGGTCGAGTCTCGAGGCTGAGAGCGATCCTAAGCTACACAATCTCAAGAGTGATTCCACACAGGCCTTCGCAAGATCGCGCAAAACAGTTTTTGAAATCTTTTAAGAAAGAGACAAATCGCTCGCGCTGAAGACAATGTAGAACCAATCTGGATCAAATCAAGATCCTTCTCAGTACTCACATTAACAAGAGTGATCTTGATCATTAAGGGCTTAGCATGCCTCTCTTTCTCTCAATTGATCAAATTTTGCAAAACCCGAGGAATTCTTTCCTCTTTGTTTTTATCACAATGTTTCGAAAAAAGTTTTGGAAAACTTAGGTTAATGCAATGAATTTAAGGCACAGAAAAGACACAGCTTCTAGTCAAATACTGCCATCTCATTTAGAATTTCTGGCACAACTGGCACACAGCAGAAGCAAACACAAGAGTGTGAAAATCACTGCTGTTCCATTCAGATCTGTTGACGTAACCGGCTCCAAGGCAGAAACAGACTCAAAAGAAAGCAAAAAGACAAACACAAAACAAGTAAGTGATGTCCGAGGTAACACCCCCGAAATCACCCGACTCTAACAAAACAGGACTGACTCGATACAATAAGACAGACCCTACTGACTCAATATGAAAGGACTGACTTAAAACAAAGAGGCAGACTCAAAACAACACAACAAGACTGACCCAATACCCAAGTCAAAAACTACAAAAACCAGCATTCGCAAATGCTCAAAAAAGTGCGTGCCACACGCCACATCCGGAGTAAACCGAGTGCCGCCCACAGGTGGTTCATCCCCTGATCACATATTCGTACTATCCCCCGAGTTCACTGATCCAGTGGTGATAGACTTTACTGAGCTGGTGCGGCAATGACCTTGTTGTCAAACAAATCCTGTACATCATGGCGCAGACGAAAGCAGCTATCGGTCTCATGACCGGTTTGTTGGTGGTACGCACAGTACTTAGTCTGGTCATGCTTTGCAGGGATAGGATCGGGTAGGGGCCGTTGTTCCAACGATTCTATGGCAATAATTAATCATTTAAAATTCAATTAACAGTGTACATAACCCAATTGGTGATCTACTTTAATGTTTGAGATACCTCTCTTCAATTAAAACGAGAAGTCGGGAGCTTCTATTTGCATACCAATCTTTTTTTTAGTTCACACCATTTTGTTTGTGTGAATATTAAAATTATAGAACTTTTTTTTCTTTTTCTTTTTCTTTTTTTTAACAACTGATATCTAAATCATTGATTTTTGTTCGATAATTAATATCCAAACCAAAACAAAAAATAGTGTTAACTAAGAATTTTATTAAATTGAGATCATGCTTTCTTCCAGCTTGACTGAGAATACAAACACACTTCAAAGATCAGTCATGACAAAGCCCAGCAGAATGTCACTGTCATGCCAGCCTGAGCAAGGACCAGTTATCATGAGTACAATGATTCAGGGAGAGGGGGAGGGGGAATCATGAACGCACGCAAAAGCTTGGTCTAACGAGGGTTCACTATATCACAGAAACTAGGAAAGGCATTCACTTCTCAATCAAAATCAGATTTTAATGAGCAATCAGCTCAGAATGCCTACAAAAACCAGTAAAATTTCCAGAGTGTAACAAAATCATGAAAATAGACCGGTCAAATATAAAATGCTAAATCTTCTTGCCATGACTACAACACGTCCATGACAAATTAAATCACTTTTAATATTTGGTGATTGTCAGCTAAATAATAAATATCTCGCCCCGTGTGAATAAAGCAGGAAAACTGAACAGAAGTATATTTTCTGAAAGAATAAAAAAATGATACAAGATGTATGCTCCGTGCCTTCAAACTGAAAATGGGATGTATCCATGACCTCAACTTTGGGCAGACAAGGGAAGATCAACACTTTCACCACAGTAAATACAGCAAATTATCTTCTTATGATGAATGATATAAGCATTTCATGAGCAGCTATAACCCTAAACACTGAATTTGCCATGTAATCTTCCCGTGATCACCACTGCTGGTTCAGCAATTATCAGATAAAATGCTCTCCAGGCATGTGGAAAAAATCACACAGTAAACTTGGCAATAACTAAGCTAACTGCCATAAAAGAAACATAGAGACCAACAAGGCAAAATCCCCAAAATCTAGGTACCCGAAACCTATACCAAGTTATTACTAATAGGGAACCCATCAGGCTTAGAAGCAAGAACACAAACGCAACCACAATACTAACATGGAAATGGAGTTCGTAAGCTTTTGGATACACATTGGCAGTCTGTATTACCAAAGCCGTGCCAAGCCCAAAAAGCATGTTAAACATAGGCCCGGCAAAGCAACCAGCCATGGCCAGCGCTGGCTGGCCCGCTTTAGCGACTGCCACATCAGCAACAAGATCACCCACTGAGTTTCCCCATGCAAGTACTGTCAGCCCAAGTAGTGCAGGAGGCAACTCAAGAAGTGCTCCGAGAGCTGCAAGGCAGTTTAGGAGTTCCCCGGCCATGACAGAGATCCAAAATACGCTCATTACAAATGCTATGAGCACTACGGGAATTTCCTCGGTTTTGGGGGGCTCTTTTTGGACTATGTAGTGAAGAACTGCTAGAGAGGAGCATGCAAAGAGTACTACTAGCCAGAGAGGAAAATGGGAATTCGGAAGGAGAAAACTGATGGGATGATTTAGTGGCATGAATGAGTTACAAGAGTATAGAAGGGCAAGCGGGCAAAGAACAATGTTGGCAGATCGATAGAATCTGTTCCATTGAGAAGGAGAAGTCTGGGGGATAGTGAGTTTTAGAAGAATTGAGACTGGAAGCTCCCACACTTTTGAGATCTGCAGACAAAGAAAAAGAGAATTAGTTCAAAAGAAGAGTATTACTCATTTATACTATTACAGTAGACAGATGAGCTGATGATGCACATTCTAAAGAAACATTACAGTTGAAGCGAGTACAAAGCAAAGTCACATCATGCATATAGTTCAACTCCAAATGGGCTACTTCTAAAATTACTTCTAATCAACAGCATTAAGTTCCATGACATCATTAAAATTAATGTAACTTTTTTTCTTTTTTCTTTTTTGTTTTTTACAATATAAATTAGTGAATCCAAAGATAAGAGCAATATGCTGGATTGATAATCAGGGAAGCCTCTGAAAATAGTAAAAATAGGCATTCCCCCTTTGCCAAGCTGTTTCCTGGCGAACGTAACCGACTAAAACCTGAATTAGCAGCTGGGAACTCAGTTGCAGAAAGCCGAGGTGGGGATGGGGGCGGGAGCTAAGGAGCGAGGGCATATATAAAGTGAATAGATACTTCAGTTTGCTGCTCTAACCTGGCAATTGTCTCTGCCTGTTGGGCTATAACCACAGCTTGTTGCTTGGCGAATTCTACTTGACGGACAGCGTCTTGCTGCATGGCTTTCATACTATCCTGGAGTTGGCGCACCATCTCTTTCCAACCGACATATTGTCCTGACTAACTGAGCAACAGGTATATCTGTGTCTGCAGTAGGCTCAAAATCTCAACCCGACTGCTCAAAGATCACTGATCTAGTAGCTGTTGTACTAGTGGTCTGTGCCTGACTAGCCTTCTCTAGCCCTGATTACCCTTGAACTGAGTCTCTGACCTGACAAAGTCTATCAGCACAAATCCAATGTACCGAGGGATATTGGAGCCTTCTAAAGTTATGGTTCCAGGACTACCTAGCAAAAGGGAAAACAGAGAGCACCTCAGCCTGATTTCACCATAACCCATATGAGCAAAGTTGAATGACTGTGCCCCCCTACAGAATTTTGCTCAAAATTCTGCCTGTAAACTGATACCCTCAGGTAAAATGATTCCCCAAATACTGATAGTGATGCGCGCAGGCTTGTTACTTAGACTTGCAAACTAATTATGTGCATTCCCTGTAGAGATACACTCTAAAAACATATAGCAAACAATGAGAGCCAAGACACCCCTATGTTGGGGTAGGGTTCCCTGTCCTATTTTGTCAGGAGCTAGGGTTTCACTACGCACGTAGCGGTTTCAAACAACCTATAATCGGGTAAGCAACCTATCCTAACTTGGAATGGTCACTATGGATTTCGATATGCACTAGGTCGAATGGTCAAAAAGGTGCCCCGGTAAAAATCGGGGTTTGTGTTCCCATACTGGTAGAGCCCGCACCGGTCAGCCCTTG